AAATTCACTATGTTTTGGCTGGAAAACATGATCGTTGAATATTTCGAACAAAGTTTCCGAAGTACGCGTAGGAGGCAAGAACTCTGCCAGCACTGCAAGTGCGCAAATTGCTGGAGCAACCGGCACTCGGATGTTTGCATACATTGTGAATTCTGCCAGACTGTCCTTTAATTATATTCCCAGAAAGAATGGGTAAATCATGACACGCTGACGTGAGAAGCATGCGATATGCTTCCCACGAGTCATCGTTGTGTTGCAGTGAAGCACATCTTGTTTTCGGCAGGTGCACATTTCAGTTGATCACGAGAGGTTTTTTTGTTTTTTTTTTACAGTTTCATTTTTCGTGCTGAAGTATCGAGGCTGGGGTGCTTCAGCTGCTACTCAGTAGTATCACTAAGTGACTCTTAAGGGCTGTCGTTTCTGCAGTTCTGTGGCTAAATTGGGATCGGGAATCTGTACACTACATCCAAAGTTTTCAAATTAACCAAAATGGTGCTGACCACAGCTTCAAATTGCTCGCTCAACCTTACATTGAAAATACGGGATCGCTGAACTACTTCGAATCAAGCGGGATTTTCAAATAACAGAGTTCGAATAATGAGGTTTCACTGTAATTTGATCAATGCTCACACTGTTCAGTGAGTGTATCTTATTTCACTAAATGCCGACAATACTTTCTAGCATACTCTTTAAATATCAGAACCTCACTTTTTACTCATCGACAGTGTTGATGGACGTTGATTCCAAATTAATCTATGAATCGTAGACCACTCCTGCAGTTCATAGGCAAATGGGTTGTGTATGTGTGTTGTAAGACACACACACACACATACCCCAAAAATGTTGTAAGACACACACACACACCCAAAAAAAGGGGCGGCTGACACTTCTGAGACACTCAGCTGGTTCAACAGTGGGACTGATAAAAATTGTTGAGAGATATCTCAGCTAAACACTGAAGTTGATGACTGAATCGTGCAGTGATGTGTTGTACCTTGTAAAATTCACTGTACTTAAAAAGTTCTGCCACGGCGCAAATGCAAGGCTAAAGCGTCAGCCCCGCGCGCTCATTGTGACCATTTCTGTGGCATACCCACGATTCTCATGAACTCGATTCTCATGAACGATTCTCATGCCCGTTGGTGGCGCTCATGTGCTTGAACATGGTCTATTGTTTTACCAGTTATTGTGTTGGAGTTAAATGCCAATTTCTCTTTCGTTCGTTCGCATGTGCATTAGCCAGTCTGTTTGATGTATTAATTGAATGGAGCCGACGTAAAGCACAATAAATTTGCACCATCAACCTTATCTGAAGGAAATTTCAGAGGTGATATACAGTGGCCGGATTTATAGGCACTACGAAATTGGGTTTTTAGGCACCAAAAACAGGCACACAAAACATAATTTTCGGCCCCCAATATATTAAACATAGCCGCAATAAATTTTTGCAATAATTCCAATTTTCGAAGAAATATGTTCGGGACCTATGTCTACAACTGGAAAGCAACAATGCTTTACTTTATTATGGTGCAATGTTGCAGTTTAGCATAGCTGTGCTTTTTTCTTTCCGCAGTGCTCGCAGAACACGATCTCTCCTTTTATTGTCCAGCATGGTTAGTTCAGTGTCAATCGTCGATTAAACACGCATCCTGGGTGTCTTTATTTTCGACATGGCTGAGAAGGGCAGCAGGAGCAAATAACCAGACCGCTAATAGGCCAGAAGGATCTTGTAGCACCGTATTAACCAGGTATGATCGCACACGATCGATTTCTCGTCTGTGTGTGAACACATTAAAGGGCCCCTCACCAGGTTTGAGCATTACGAGCAGGCAAGAGAAATACATGCACTGGGCACTCACAGTGTCATCTGCCAAGATTTGCACCACTACGTGCCCCGTAAAGAGGTAAAATGGCAGACTCCGCAAGGAATGGTTCTCCGTACATCAAAGTAGTATGTGACACTTCGAGAAATATTCGATGCGACGCGTGTAATTTGTGGAATCTGTTGCTTGAATAGAAGTATCAAGGTTGATAGAAATATTAAAACATACAAATGAAATCTGTGCACGTAATTATTTTTACCTCTGTGTTGAGCGAGATGTTAGACTAAGCTGCCTCCTTTTCATTTGCATTGCTGTTCTCGTCATTCTCGCATCATGCTAGTGCCTGCTCTGACAATTCTTGGCCTGTTTCTGGTGCATCGTCTCTTAGAGCAGTTCTAGCGGTGCGACGCTGTGTATCGTGGTAAAGGTACATGGTCTATGCCAGCCTCTCCAAACATGTACGCATAGAGGGATTAATTCCACATAAACAGGCAGTACAATACAGAGAACACTGAAACAACACTGCTTGCGTGCACGACCTGGTTTTGGCATGCTTTGCGAACGTAACCTTACAGGCGCATGAAATGTTGATGCGTCTGTGTCATGTTATCTTTCGGCTCCGCGTTGCTTCAATACCAAAGTTGGCAGGAAAGGTATTTGGCTTGCAAAGCGTACCGTCATCGAGTGGCAGTTTTCAAGCTCACCTCCTCGCATCCTGCTTTCGCAGTGCGTAATAAACCAGTTAAAGAATTCTTGTGGCACAAAGTTTTTCTTTGGGCATGCAACAACGTACACTGTCTTACTGAAATTTCTCATGTGACCTGTTCCTTACACATGAGAGCAGATGCCAAAGAAGTGCTGATCAGGTGACGCAACACAGATGAATACATGTGTAGAGGTTAATAGGCTTTCCTATTGGCTAAGGAGCCTTCTTGCCTTGACAGTGCTGACAGGAGCTTTAAGATGGAGTATAGGTTGCACCCCATAGAGTTCTGAAAGGCCTATTTTGCCTGATAACATGAATACTGGTCTCCCTATACTTGAAAACAAAATTCAAAATCAAATAATCCTCATTTAGGCATCAAATTGCAAAATTGTTCATTTATAAGCATTTATAGGATTTTAGGCACAAAACTCAAAAATAGGCATTCATAGGCACTATAATAACGCTAAGAAACACCTTCTTAACCTCTAATTCATGCTCATATATCAAAGTGGCACAATAGAAATGCAAGAAACGAAATAGGCATTTGCTTATATTCCGGCCTCTAGCGATATATTATGTCACATATAACGCTACTCTTTGTCACTTTGTATAAGTCTACCTTCTCGGTCGTTACAAGACATGAAATTCAATATTAATCAACTTGAAATGTGCACCTTGGTTGCTTAAATTTTTGTGCCTCTTTGACGCATATGCTGAACCCTCCCCCCTCCTTTTTTTTTGCACATGCAATAACCCTTCAGTTGAGTGACAGCCATGGTGTGTGTATTCACTTCTTTGTCCTGCTTTTTCTTTTTCACTCATAGTATTATTTCAACCTATAGTTGTTGTGCTAACGGAGGTTAATAGGCATTTATCGTTCGTCAAACATATGGTGCGAGCAGTGCACATGCCGATTAGTGGATGTACTTTATTTTACTAAATGCAGACTATACTTTCTAGAGTACTCTTTTAATATACACTTCACATTGTGCTCATCGACACTGTCGATGTAAGTCGCTTCCAAATGCATCCACGAATCGTAGATAGTTTTTCTTTTCATTTATGCTGTAAAGCACTGGCACCAAAAAAAAAAAAAGTATTCTCTGAGCTGCTCATCTGGTCCTACAGGAGGACTGATGAAAATTTTTCAGAAGTTGTCTCAGCTAAACACTGAAGTTTGTGGTTGAATGCCGCAGTACATACTAAGTTGCACCTTTTCAAATTCACAGTCTAAAAAGTTTTTGCTTGGCACGAGTGGCAAGCGAAAGTGCAATGCCCATGCACTCATCACAGTAGCTGCTGCGGTGTACACACTTCTTTTATGAACGCTTGCGCACCCGTTGGTGGCAATTGTCTACTTTAAGAAGGTATATTGCACTAGTTGCCAACTGAAGCTGTGAACATTGGTCACTGAGTAGAAAATCTTCTTGCTGCATTTCTATACAATGTTCTAAACTACTGCTTTTAGAGTAAGTTATCACTGCAAAGATATTCCATCGGTGTGGGTGTTTCAATGCATAGATAAATTATATAGCATTGCCTTTATTGTTTTATGAATACCATCCAGATGTACACTATGACAGTAAAGGTATATTAACTTGTACTCTAATAATTGCGATCAGCCGGTGATGGCAAATGCTGCTATGTAAATTTCAACCGTAAGATCCTAATTTTCAGTTTTTTTATCTATAATAATACCGTTTAGTTGTCAACTTATTGAACTTCTACCTACACTTTCATTATTGAAATGAGACTTTGTGGTAACCAAAAGCCAAATCTTTTCAAACAGGGCCTCAAGGTGCTTGGAAGATATGTTCTATTTGACAGGAATTTTGTTTACAGAGAGAAATGTACTTATAGGAGTACAGCATCAAAGTACAAAGCCAGCCAAATTGGAAGCGGTCTGTCTGATAGTTTTTTCTGTTCAAGAAGTTGCTTACAGTTACTAAGATTTCACTGTGATTGAAAAATATCAGATTCTGTTTACTCTGTGTTGTGGTAAACATAGCTGCTTAGCAAAAACATCTTAGACAAATGCCATTTTAATATTCTGAAAGCTTGCAATGCCTACGGGAACAGCACTGAATATACTTTCTGAGCTCTGCAAGTGCACAGTGTTTTTGAACGCAAGATTATGCTGATCCTTGCTGAAAAAAATGGCTCTCCACGTTCAGTAAGCCTATGGGATATTGCTTTTTTTTCTACATATTTAAACTACATATTTGAGCCAGCTATTGGAGAAGTTTTTTTATTCAGTTGATCACGCATTTTCAGAGTTGCCCTTCATTTTACTAAATGCGGGTGCACATTCAGTTTTGTTTAAACAATGCATGTTTTGCATCGCGCTAAAAAAAATTGGACTGACAATGTTTTGATTGGCTTCATTTTATCGTACGACTTCCATTGCTACCTGCTTTATAAAAGTGGCTGCAATGCCTTAATATTGACTTGTTGTTTCCTTCAACTTTCAGGACTTCGTCAGGGCCAAAGAAGATAAGTTTTTATTCACCTATCATGAAATGACCTGGGCACCCCAAGAGCCTGCATTACTTTTTTTTTCTCCTTGTGAAGTGACCCGGCACCCTCCAGTGCCTGCATTGACTGTGTATAAGGACCGATGCTATGAATCCGTGGCTTTGTTTCAATAAAACATGGCATCAACAATTTTCCCTACATTATCAAGCAAAGTTGGGACTAGGTCGTGCCTTTTTTTTCACATTTGCTATCTTCAGTGTTATATTACTTAGCAATGCTCAATTTAATGGTTCATCAACTGCTGCAAAAAAGGCTGTAAGTTAATTATCAAGCCATGTATTAGCATAATGAGCATGTTACTGAAGGAAAAGCACCACTATTGAATTTTAATTTTCATGGCTTTGTCTGTAGAGTTTAATAACCCAGCACCTGTGTTGATTGTATTGTGTGGCTTATGGTCTTCAAATTTTGAAGTCTAGCTCTGGCAGGATAGTTAGTGCGCAACTACTTTATATTAATTGCAAGGGTAATTTATGTCAACCTGTTTAGCTCTGCACCAATTTAGCCCCTGTTAGAGTGGTGGCAAGCTTCTTCGTCTTGATTTTTATGCAAATGTTTAGATCACCAGGCCCTTTCTTTAGAAGAATCTATTTCATTTTTCATTCTTTTTACCACATGTAACTACACATGTTCATAATGTTTGACAAAAAAAAAAAAGAAACATCTTGAACAATCTTCAGTCTTTAAACATGAGTGCAAGAAACTAGCTGCTTGTGTCCAATGGAAGTTTCATTTCCTTCAGAGTGGAATGTTCTCTCAGTTTATTAGCTTCCTCACCTTCTTTTTCTTCTTCTCTCTTGCTCTCTCTCTTTTTTTTAAAGGTATACTCCACGCTCCATGATCAATCATTCTATCTCAGATTGAACAGCAGAAGAAAAAAGTTCAGACTCTTGTACTTGTTTTCTAATAAACATGTCAACTAATAAATGGGGCCATTGTTAAGTTCTGTGAATAGTAAGAAGTACAAGATTTTTTTTATTAACTTGTCTTCATTTGGTGCCATTTGAGTTACACGTACAATTTTTTTTCTTCCACTTCAAATATTTTGGGGCAGCCTTACTAATATTGCAGTTTCTTTTTGAGAGATAGAAGATAGTCAAGTGCACTGGTCAGTACTCAGTTGTAATATTACGCAGCTCTGATATTCATTTCATAAGTGCCTCAAGGCTTACATTTGATGCAACAAGGATGTCTAGGTTCTCCTGTTTGCACAATTTCATGGAGAACAAGGCCATTAACTACAATATTGTTTCCCAGTAGCGCAGTTTGGTGTGCGAGGTGCCAGTCATCCACTGCTGGAGAAAGGCAGGAATGTACTTGAGGAGTGTAGTGCCCAGTGGCATACCAACTCTTTCGCGAGCAGGGGGAGCGAACCTACCCCACTCGTCAGCCGTAATTTATATATATATGAAATGACGCCATGATGACTAAGAGACGTGGCCAGGCTTATTCGTCATGTGTTTATCCTATTGCGATTCTTCCTTCTCTACTTCTACCATCAGTTACCGCCTTCCTACTTCACAGGATTCCCCCTCCCCCCGAAAGAGTGCACAAGCTATAAACTATAAAACATGAACAAGTGGAATCTTACAATCGGAAATAAATCACAGAAAATGCAGTAGTTCCATGTCACATGAGAGTTACATAAACTTGCACAAACATTTCACTGGAGAGGGCAGCAGTCTGGTGATATCTAGTGGAGCTCTGGTGGGCGAGGCTGGCTGTTGTGTCCTGGCCAACAGAAGCACAGCTTGAATAGAGAAATTGGTGATGACACAGCAGTTCTGGCGAGGAATAAACTAAGGTGGCACGCTTTGGTACACTCGTAGCTGGAGCTTCGCAGACGTCGTGTTCTTTGTCCTGAATGGTATGCATCGGGCACTACCAAATTGCATATTCGTTGGCTGACGTGGCGATGCCTGTCTCTTTCCGAAAAACGGGGTGTGGTTTTATGCCGTTTGTGTCGTTTCGTCTCCTGTTGTTCCGATTGCATTGATTGTAGGCTCCGTTTTTACCTCTGCTGAAGAAAACTTGCTCTACATCCCTTGCGAAAATGTCCTGGGTTTGATGCTATCTTTGCCATGAGCAAGACATGTTGAATGCCGTTGCTTCACTTGACTCGCTTGCAAATGTCTTTCCTTGAGCTGCGAGTGGTCTTTCGATTACTGCGGTTGTCCTTGTAGGATAACATGTCGCTTAACCTGGTCAATTTGCTTATGCTGACCTTGCTGGTGTTGCGAAAAATTCTGAGGTGGCAGCCCTACTGGAAGAGGACAATAATATTTTGGAAAATGGACGTAGTGCACAGTTGGTAGCCGTTGCAATGTTTTTTGGGCAGTGAAGTTAGTAGGACACACTTTACTGCAGGAATATCTGTGGTGCCTGCACCACCGTTCATTACGGAGGCTTCTGGCACCCGGCACCCTGTGAGGGGTGGTGCTTCCTAGCCTCTTCTGTTTGGATTTTTAGGTGCCTGTGCACTGAATAGTGATGCGCATTAAATGGTGACACCGCAACAGGCATCGTTTGGTCAAATTTCAGTTGAGAATTGCTGTATTTTTGTGCAACTAATGATTTGAGCTGTTCTGGCGCATGAATCTGGACGGTAGGTTCAGGGCTTGACTGAGTATTTTCTGATTTGGGCAGCTCTATCTCAACTGTAGCTGGCGTGTGAGATGTCAGGTGGGTGTTGTGAGTGACGGAAGAGCCAAACAATGGAAAACCAGAAGGTAGGTCAAGAGTGTGAGACTGGGAGTGAGCTGCTCCAATGCGTAAAGACTCGTTTCGACTCTTCGAGTCGTCATGGCGTAGTTCGGTATTTTCTCCATGCATCAGTTCGTCTACTGTGAACAAGGCTTCCTTATGACATGAATGGTGAGAGTTAGCAGCAGTTTCTGCAGCAGCTTCTGCATGGTCAGTCTTCAAGCCGGACTATGTATGCGAGACGAAGCACGAAGGGCATCAGTAGGGTAAGCAACATCGGTCAATGTTGGAGCTACGACTGACAATGCCGACTTTCGTGCAGAAGAGAAGCCTGGTGGCAAGCTATGTCTTTTAAAGAGAGATGCTACTCGAAGACACTTTTTCTTTAATATTCACCCTAGAGCAATGAAGCTTGAGCTGTTTATGCTGATTTCAAATATATAATTAGTTTTCTTGCAAGTTACACACTTTTAGCTCCGCAACATGACAAAGTGAAAACCCTAACCCTTTTGCCTTTTCATCCCTAAAATTCTGTAATTTTTTACCATTCATAGTTCATTATGCTTTGAATAAAGTGTAGAGTGCAAATAACTAATTGGGAAGCACATACAAAATATGTAATACGCGTGAAAAATAATAGATGTAAAAAGTCTATATTTCACCTACCCTAGTAAAGGTATATATACAATTTCTTTACTGTACAATAAAATATTGAAATTTAAACTAGATAATTGCATTTATCATACTTTGGAAAAAATTTGGGCAAAATTTCGTGCAGATCAGAGCACTAGAAGTGCCCAAAAAAAGAGGGGCACATTGGAAAAAATGGCAAAATTTGTTTTGAGAAAAACGAGTTTTAAAGTTAAAATTGAGTTTTTATTTATGAAAGATGTTATTAAATCAGATGAAATTTGCACCCCAAAAAGAACAATCCTTCTTGTAGTGGCCACTGCGACTAAAATACCCCAGCACCACGAGTTTGTCCCTCTCGGCGTTTTCGAGCCAACTCCTCACAGACATTTCGCTCACAGACAGGGCCCTAAAATGCTTGCCAAATTTCCGCTCCATCTGGCAGAGCCTTGTGCCAACTGCAAGCTAGAAAGAAGTTCGACAGGACTGCGAAATCCAAACTAAGTCAAGTGTCATGCCATTTTGCAGCCATGTTTGTGCCACATACCGTCGTACATAATGGCAATGTTGTCCCTGCTAAGTTCTCTCACTGCCAGCTCTTTCGACCTCTCAAAATTGGCGCTGACGTCATCCATTGCCGCATCACGAACTTTCCGGCTGATGGGTGTGAATGACTTTGATTGGCTCTTGCAAGCCAACAACTGCCGCAAATCGGTTCAGCTGCTAGTAGCCTATTCCTACAGAGCGCGCCACACAACTGCTTTCACTTGCGAGCAATGCCTGTTTTCATTAATAACAGAGATAATTACACGAGAAAAGCATTGTTCAGCTGCGCTGCTCGACAAGACATGGACCCCGCAGATAGGTTTCACAGCACATACAGGCGCGCAGCGGCCAATGGCGGTCCCCGATTCGTACCATGTGATAAGCCAGTCGCGGCGCTCGAAAAACGCGCAGAAGAGTGATTCTTGTTATTACTTCTTGTGCTGCATCAGCGAGAGAAGCTGTTGTTATTTGAAGAGTGAGGCTCGACTCTTCGGCTCATGCGATCAACAATGGCTAGCGGCAGCACATTATCGGCGGCAAGATGCTCGAAGACTGCACACTTTTGACCTTTTACCAGGCACCTTGTGCACTTTAGATGCAATTTTAAAGCATTTACAGTTAGGTCTCGACCTGTATTATTTTTTTCATAACAGTAGAGGTACTAACCTTATCAAAACGGGCGAAAATAAAAAATCTGTAATTTTGAAAAAAAACCTTAAGAAAAGAGTGTGAAATGCGGCGGCTAGGTTGGATTGTCTCCAGATTGTTGGTAATAAGGAAGTACTTGTAGTCGTTAAAACAAGCAATCATCTCATATCTTTACCCATGATTTGTCGTTTTCAAATATATGCGTGAGGTAGAACTTGAAAGCTCTGAAGATGTCAGTAAAGTTGGTGATCATCTCTCATTCCGACCAAGGTGCAGCGGTAGCGAGGAGCTCTAACAGGTCGAACCAGTCTTGTACAGGTCGATCGTCTGCTGCTCCAGTATACTTGGAAATGCTTGTCATTGTGTGCAGCTAGGATATGCTTTGGTAGACCGTGTATTGTCTGGGTGTCTTGTTGAAAACGTCGTCGATGATTTCGGTGGAAGAAGTGGCCGGCAGGTTTTCGTCCTGACGGCTTATATGACACTATGATGATTTGGGGACATGGCCTGGCTTATACGCCATGTGTTTATTAATGTGATAGCGTTAGAGAGCTCATTTCGCAGAAATTCCGGCGTCAGCACCGATGGCTCTGAACGAAAAATGATCATCTTATGCATGATCGAA